TATCAGCATTTTGGTTAAAATCATTCAACAAATCTCTAGTAAGTTCCTAACTTTCCCACATCTTCCTATCTTCTTCTGAGTCCTCCAAACAGTTCTAACCTCTGCCTGTTACCCAGTTCCAAAGTCACTTCCACATTTCCAGGTTATCTTTATAGCAGTACCCAACTCTACTGGTACAAATTTACACTATTAGTTTTCATGCGGCTCTAAAGACCTTCCCTGAGACTCAGTAATTTATAGAGCAAAGAGGTTTAATTGACTCACAGTTTCACATGGCCGAGGAGGCTTCAGGAGACTTACAATCATGGTGGAAAGGGAAATAGGCACCTTCTTCACAAGGTGGCAGGAGGGAGGTGGGGGAAGGGGAGGGGACAGAGAAAGAGAGAGTGCATGTGGAGGAGGAACTGTTAAAGACTTATAAAACCAGGAACTGTCAAACACTTACAAAACCATCAGATCTTGTGAGAACTCACTATCACAAGAACAGCATGGTGGAAACGGCCCCCATGATTCAATCACATCCCACCAAGTCCCTCCCCAGACACATGGGAATTATGGATATTACAATTCGAGATGAGATTTGGGTGGGGACACAGAACGAAACCATATCAGTGAAGAATCTAAAGTAGTCAAACTCACAGAAGCAGAGAGTAGACAGGTTGTGGGGAGGGGAAGTGGGGAGTTGTTCAGTGGGTACAGTTTCAGTCAAGCAAGACAAAAAAGTTCTAGAGGACAAAAAGATGGCAACATAGACATCAGGGAGTGCTAGGTTGAAAAAGGGTTGAAAAAAAGGGTTGAAAAACTACCTATTGGATACTATGCTCACCACCTGGATGATGGGATCAATTGTACCCCAAACCTCAGCATCCCACAATATACCCATGTAACAAACCTGCACATGTACCCTGAATCTGAAATAAAGCTGAAATTATAGAATAATAGATTCTATAAATTATAGAAATAAAGCTGAAATAACTTTGTGGAGATCTGCTGTACAACATTGTGCTTACAGTTAACTGTACTTGAAATTTTGTTAAGAAGGTAATTTTCATGGTATATTTGTTTTACCACCATTAAAAAAAAGTATTTCAGAATGCAGGTGAGAGTGATATTATTCAAGGAAAAACCTTGAAGAAAAACCCTCTGTTATTCTAAAAACACAAATGTTATCACAGGATTCTATTGCTTTGCATACCGTTTTGCTTCTTTCACTTACTGGTCATTCTCTACCTATCATCTTGGTGGCTTCTCATGGGAAGTGTCACACAAGAGGCCAAGCACAGGGCTCTAGGGCCAGATAGCCACCACCCAGCTGCATGATTCTGGGTTACTTCATCCTCTGTGCTTCATTTTCTTTACCTATAAAATGGCACTGATATAAATAGTACCTACCCCAGAGGATTGCTGGGGGGATTAAATGAGTTAAATCTGGTTGGGTGTAGTGGTTCATGCCTGTAATCCCAGCACTTTGGGAGGCCGAGGCAGGTGATCACTCGAGGTCAGGAGCTCAAGACCAGCCTGGTCAACATGGTAAAACCCCATCTCCACTAAAAAAATATGGAATTAGCCAGGCGTGGTGGTGCACGCCTGTAAGCCCAGCTACTCGGGAGGCTGAGGCAGAAGAATCACTTGAACTTGGGAGGCGGAGGTTGCAGTGAGCCAAGATCGTGCCATTGCACTACAGCCTGGGCAACAAGAGTGAAACTCCGTCTCAAAAATAAATAAGTAAATAAATTAATAAATGTCTCTGAATTGGGTTTTCCAAGATTTTGTTCAGGATTTTTTCATGAAGGTTCATGAGAGAGACTGACCTTTCAATTTTCCTGTCTTTTAATGTCCTTGCAAGAATTAGGTATCGAAGGTATACTGCTCTCTTAAAATGAGCTGAGAAGGTTTATCCTTTTTTCTAGTCTTTTTCTAGTCTCCGTATGAATATGTAAGATTGGTGTTATTTCTTCCTTAAATGTTTGGGAGATTTCATGATGAAAACATCTGGGCCTCCTGGCATTTCCTTTGAGAAAAATATTTAAATTACAGACTATCAGGATTTCCTACTATTTTTTCTTATGCCAGTTTAGTAAGTGATGGTTTTCTAAGATTTTGACCATTTCATCAACATTTTCTAATTTACAGAGTAGTACCATACAGAGCAGTAATCTGTAATCTCCTTATCACCGTTTTCATAATTATGGGATCTTTAGTGATACACCCCTTTTAAAATTCCTGATATAGCTAATTTATGCCTTTTCTTTATATCAGCCTTGTCAGAGGTTCATCAATTTTAATAATCTTTTAAAAGAACAAACTTCATGCAGAACTTTTTAAAATAATCTTTTCATTTCATTACAAGTACACTAGTAAAAAAAGAAATCTGTTTTTGTTGGACTGAAAGCATCTTCCTTTTGTGTCCATCTTTGAAGGATATTTTCGCCAAGTACGCCATTCTAAGAAAGCAGGCATTCCTTCAGCATTTTGCAGACGCCACTGCATTGTCTTCTGGCTTCCATCATTTTCGCTGAGAGGGCAGATGTCAGTTTTGCTCTTGCTCCTTTGACATTAAGGTTTCTTTTTCCCCTTTAAGTGCTTTTACAATGCTTTCTCTTTCATTACTAGCAGTTTTAGCTTAATGTGTCTAGGTGGTTTTCTTTGCACTTATTTTGCTTTTGGTTCATATTGTTCTTGAATCTGGGGCTTGCCATCTGTTTAGTTTTCAAAATTCTTGGCCATTATCTCTTCCAATATTGCTTCTGCCCTATCTGTCTTGTTTTTCTTGTTTTCCCTTTTGGGGACTCCAATTACACATTAGATCTTTTCACTCCATCCCATATAGCTCTTATGTCCTTTTCTCTATTTTCTATTCTTTGTTTTCTCTGTACTTCAGTTACTTCTATCGACTTGTCTTTAGTTCCTTAAGTCTCTCTGAAAACGTTTAATCTACAGGTAAACTTTGTTGAGTCTTAAATTTAGGCATTTTATTTTTAAGTTATAACATTTCTAATGAGTTCTTTTTTATAGATTGTGGTTTTCTGCTAAAATTATCCACCTTGTTACTTATTTTCTTTACTGGATTAATCCCAGTTGTTTTAAAGTCTGTGTCTAATATCTGGATCTCCTGTGTCTGTTTCTGTTGCCTATTTTTTCTCTTGTTTTTTCATCATTTGATATTACCTATTTGTATACTTAGTATTTCTTAAATTGACTATGACACCATTTTTTTTTTAATGTGGCTGTAAGTTGAGGTTCTGGATGATGTAATCTTCCTTCAAAGAGCATTTATTTCTGATTCTAGAAGGCAGTTAAGATAGAGAAAGATCTCTTAAATTCAAACCCAAGTTTCTACGTGTTTTAAGACTGAACAAATAAAAGACTTCCTTAAGATGTTAAGGAAGAATATTTTCATAATCTAATAGCTAGAAAGGTCTTTTTAAGGCAGGAAACAAAACACTTAAAATCACAAAGGAAAGCACTGAACACAACATGCAACATTTTTCTTCAGTAAAATATAACTTCAAACAAAGTTCAAAGATAAAGAAAACAGCATTACATATAAAAAAGTTAAAAAGCACAATATATCAAGATTTCTTACAAATATGAAAAAGACTAATACCTCAAAAGAAATACAAAGTATGTAAGTTTTCATTCACACATACAAAAGACAGATAAACGGTCTGTAAACATATGAAGAAGTGCTCAACCTTACTGAAGAACAAAGTAAATCAAGATATTATTGTTCATTTATTTAATCTTTAAAACGTATAGAGTGTGAAAATTCTGGGAAAATGGTACCTTGCATGTTGTGAGGGGGAGGGTAAACTGAAGGGCAGTATGTCTACCAAGTTTTTCAACGTGCCAGGACAGGTCAAACACACTTCCTTTTCTAGGACTCCATTTTCCTTTTCTAGGCATCAATGTGTGGAAGATCTCAGGACAGGCTCACTTGATTTCATCCTCGTCTCTTTGAAGGGTGACGTACTGGCTTATAAGAGACTGGAAAGTCAAAGGGTGTATTTGCCAAAGTCCTTAAAGCTTGGCTCATCAAGTGGCCTAGTTTCTGTCAAACAGGCCCCTTCTCAGAGGATGTGGAAGGTACAAGAGAGTAGAAGGCTGCCCTTCTGCAGCTTCTCCTGGCAAGCATGGCTGGGAAGGCATTTGCTGTTCTGTGGCAGGGGAGTGGAGGTTCTTGGGTCTATTTCATCATCTTCTGGGCAGTATGAGGGAGGCACAGAGCATGGTTTGCTGGCATGGACTGCACCTGTGGCTGTGTGGTCCCAAGGCTGATCCTAGATCTTGGCAGCAGTGGTGGACCTGGGCATGTATCTACAGAAAGACTTCCTGATTCTGGCAGGAACAGAAGCTCCTTTACTGGACCAGCACTGAGATGCACTGGGAACTCTTCCTAGAAGCTCAGTGGACGGAGCCTACTGCCTTCTCCAGCCCTTTCAGTACAAAATGCCCTGGATTAAATCCCTTTCTGCTTAACTACAGTGATCTCTCATATTTACAAATGAATCTTGATACACCCTTATGCAGAAATAGCCTGTTTAGTGGTCAAAAAACTGCATAAGGATCTTCACTTTATTGATTACTCCAAATAACCTAAAATCTATCAGTAGAAGTATGGCTACATAAATTGATGCATATTATGTAACCTTTACAAAAAGGAATCATTTCTCCAAATGTTGAAATGTAAAGATGTCTCAGACATATTCCTTTATTCATTCAACAAATATTTATTGAGCTTCTATCATGATGTGACCATGTGTCACTCCCTGTTAGCGACAAAAGATATGTTAGCAAGCAAAATAAACAAAAATCTTGGTCCTCACGGTGCTCACATTCCAATGATAAAGTGAAATGAGTAAGTGTTGGACTAATGTGTAGTATAATCCAATTTACACAACACACACCCTCTCTCCACACACACACATATGTATACAGAAAAACATCTAGAGGGATATACAGCAAACCATAAGCAGTGGTTATTCCTGGGGCTCATCTACCTGACTGAAGAGACAGCAGCTGCTGGGGGGTGGTCCTCACTGGTATTTCACTTAGGGGGCTTCTAAGGGCCTTATGGACAGAAGTATTCTGTCCAGTTTCACCTGCCAAGAAAAGAGATGAGAACATTTATATGTTTTTCCAGTTCAAAAAAGCAAATAATACTTTCTGATTTACCTTTTTGGTGACTTGAGAAGTATTCCATGTTGTTTAGTGTGATATTTATTATCCTTTTCTCCTCTGGACTAGAGCTGAATTGGAGAAATGAGAGGGGAGGAGGAGTTAGCTGAGTGGAGGCCAGTCCTAGATGTAGGACAACTGAATAAAATGAAGATGTTTAAATAATAAGGTGCCTAGGGGAGGAAGGAACAGGAAAGTTCTTGCACAAACTGTTACTGTTAATTCATTTCCCATTAACAGTAACAGTTAATGTAACAGTCACAGACTCACTCACTGAGCTTTCATGTTTTTCAATATGTGTAGTTTAATCTTCATTTAATTTAATTGCAAACTATTTTAGCAGAGATAATAACTGGGTACATTCTAGGATTAATTTTTACTACAGTCTTTTTTTTTTTTTTTTTTTGAGATGGAGTCTCACTCTGTCGCCCAGGCTGGAGTGCAGTGGTGCAATCTCAGCTCACTGCAAGCTCCGCCTCCCAGGTTCACGCCATTCTCCTGCCTCGGCCTCTCGAGTAGCTGGGACTACAGGCATCCGCCACCATGCTCGGCTAATTTTTTGTATTTTTAGAAAAGACAGGGTTTCGCCGTGTTAGCCAGGATGATATCGATCTCCTGACCTCATGATCCGCCTGCCTCGGCCTCCCAAAGTGCTGGGATTACAGGCATGAGCCACGGCACCGGCCTACTACAGTCTTTCAGTACAATGGCATGTTCACTGCAGTCCAGGAAGAAAGATACTGTTACAGTGGAGAGATGCATGTTCTGTTTCTTATATTTGCTATCTTTATGTGTACAGTGTATGTATGAAGTATAGCTATGCATCTTTCCAATATATGAAGATAAGCATGACTAAAGGGGAATTGTGAGTCCATCAGAAAATTCCAGGAAAAACTGGGAGCATACCAAGATCAGGAGTGACGGATCAACACAGGTGCTCACATACAAGACCAGACAGAAAAATGTCTAGCAGGCTGCAACATGGGGATGGCCAGGGGTGCCTACAAAAGGGTCAGGTGCACAGTTGTGACGCCTGGTTTCCTAGGAGATGAAGCCTCTGGCTGACCGTGCTAATTCTCGTGAGATAAGAAAATGGCAAATAGTAGTGACCTGAATTTAATGGCTATGAGACGCAGAAAAGAAATGAGGCAAGATAGGAACTGGAGGGGAGGAAGAGGTAGAGAGGAAGAGGCTGCAATTTGCGTTATTCATGAGTCAGGCTCTCCATCAGTGCCTCCCCGGAGCCTCGGCCAGGCTCCTGCATGCAGTGGCTACACGTGGTAGCACCTGGAAGTGCCCTTGTGTTTGTAACAACGTGAAGCCTGGGTAGAGTCAAGAGACATTTGATATGTCAGGCCAAAGTTTGAATTTGGAGTTTTGCTTATAGAAAAAAATGATTAAATACCTGGGCATCCCAAGTCAAATGACTTGATGAGTGACTTACAGTGGCCATGGGCTCTGAGGGCGTTGCAGTTGTTCTGTTAATGCAGACACCAGGCCACTGGCCAGCAGCATTGACCTTGGGGGACTCTGGCTCTTCATCCACAGGTCTGCACGGCAAAGGTCAAATCAGATTGAAAAGGTGGAGGACGTTCCCATGGGAGAAAAAGACAGAGAGGAAAACAGAGCTGATGTGGAGAAAATAAACAAAGCTGGAAGGGAAATTCTAAATTTAACATCCTATTTTCTCTACCAGCTTTGCATCTTTAGGAAATAATGTAGGCATTGCTCTCAATTTTTTAAAAAGCTGTTTCTTGAGATATGGTCAAAAATGGTATTTTTATATGTAGAACGACTTGATATTAGCTCTAATTAAGAAGCCTGTATGCTGCAAATTGTGAAAAAAAGGCAAATGTTAACTGATCATAAACATTTCGCTTATTATCAATGGTGAATGCAGTGGATTGCCTTGCTGGCAAATTCTCCAAACCCCACGTAGCACACAGAGGCTGGAAAGATGAAATCTCGGAGCTCTCCTGCAGCTGGGATTTTGGGTGTGATTTAAGTTCCACCAATCAGAAAGACTTGGGCAAGACCTGGAGTGGCACCTGAGTCAGAGGAAGAGAGGCAAGGCACAGGGTGTTCGCTATGTGTACAGAGACTGTAGCAGGGACAAGATGCTTCTGGTGCTGGTAACTGGTGGCAGCTTTCCAACTGGGTGGGCAGCTTTCTGAAGTTAAGGCTCCTCTCCTGGTGGAGGGAGCAGGTTCCCTGGTGGTTCAATTCTGCGTGGAGGCTTTGGGAGCTGCTCCTGGAAGCTCAGCCCTCCCAACAATTCTGCAAGACATTTAACACCTTTCTGCCTAAGCCAACAAGAGTGCAATCCATTACACACAACAGAATCCTGACTCAGACATTCTGTCTTCTAAGCCTAAGAATCGTAACACCACTCTAGAATAACACCACAATTCTGCATGAAGTGAAGCTCCTGCTCTCACCGAAATTCCCTGGTGTGTTCTTCGTGAAGTTTCTAAGTTTAAGCACAGATTCACAGAAAGTCTTTTATGATAGATCATCGACCCAATCCTCAATCCTCTCATGCATGGCTTCATCATCCAGGGGACTTTAGCATGTCATGTGATCTCCCTGTGAACGAGCCAAGACAAGGACTCCCAACCTTCTGATTGCTAAATCACTGCTCTCTTCGTTATATCATATTGCCACAGCTGTTTTGCAAGATGACTAATTTATGAGAATAGTTCAAACAGAATGTTTCTGGAAGTATATTTTAATAAGGTCAGTGGAAGTTTAAAATATTTATTTACTGATTGTTTTGAAGTTAATCTAGTTACTCATAAGCTTCTGTGGTTCAATTTACCGTGCACTTAATTCTCTAAGCTTTCCCCTGTTGCTCTATAAACATGAACAGAATACATTTCACAGGAACAGAACTTAAAACAGTTAACCCACACTGTCTTACACTCTTGACTTGACAGCCCCTTCTTCTGAGTGAAAAAAAAATCAGTAAACTGAAAACTTCATTGGAAGAAACCAGGAACTTAAGAAATTGTAAGGCGTTGGGTTTTTAAATGATTTTTTAAAGGTAGTTACTGAGAGGAACTGGTTTTCACATTTTCCCCTTTATGTTACACAGAATAAAATCAGGTGGCAAATACACAGAAAGAGAATGAAATCAGGTTAAGTCCGGGGAGAAAAAAATCTCCTCTGTCTGCGCCAGCCATTCTCAAGTTCATCAACAAACAAAATGGGCCACCTTCTTACCAGTCCATTTAAATGACTTCTTGCCCAAGGCCTCCAAGGACAATCATTTTAAATAATTCATGTTCATTTCCTTCTTTGATAATTTAGTAAGAACAAAACAGAGAAGCCTACATTCTACTAAGGTATTCCTTTATCTAAATTTCTCTGCAATAAAAAAATACTGAATGATAAATAGACAAATTTAGACTGTATAAGAAAGGCCACAAGAATCAATTTCCAGTACCCCTGTCTTCAGGCATCCTAAGATGTTATTTCAAATACCCAGTCTGCTTGGCTAGAACAATACAAGTCAGTATGAGAAAACCCTGCATCATTTAAGCAGATTAGAGAAATACCCACTAATACTCACCATGTTATATAACAGCAATTTGTGTGTGTGTGTGTGTATGTGTACGTCTATGTGTGTAGGAGGCATTCACAGAACAAAGCCTGAACTGAATAACCAAAGAAAATGGTTATTAAGAATGCTATTGGTGGCTGGGCATGGTGGCTCATGTCTGTAATCCCAGCACTTTGGGAGGCCCAGGGTGGATCACTTGAGGTTAGGAGTTCGAGACCAGCCTGACCAACAGAATGAAACCCCGTCTCTACTAAAAATACAAAAATTAGCCAGGTGTGGGTGGTGGTACACGTCTGTAATCCCAGCAACCTAGGAGGCTGAGGCAGGAGGATCACCTGAACCCGGAAGGCAGAGGTTGCAGTGAGTGGAGATTACTTCCACTCCAGCCTAGGCGACTGAGCAAGAATCTGTCTCAAAAGAAAGAAAAAAAAAAAAGAATACTATTGTTGTCTAGGCCTGGTGGCTCACACCTATAATTCCAGCACTTTGGGAGGCAGAGGTGGATCACCCAGGCTACAGTGTAGTGGCACCATCTCGGCTCACTGCAGCCTCAATCTCCCAGGCTCAAGCGATTCTTCCACTTCAGTCTCCAGAGTAGCTGGGACTACAGATGCACACCACCACACTTGGCTAACTTTCTTTTTTAAGAAATGAGTTTTCACCATGTTGCCCAGGATGTTCTCGAATTCCTGGACTCAAGTGATCTGTCTGCCTCAGCTTCCCAAAGTGCTGGGATTACATGCAAGAGCCAGTGAGGTTGGCTCTTTCTTTAGTTACGTTACTGATGAAATAGCTGCTTTGTGTTTAGGGGCCATATTAACACAACAAAATGAAGCATATGTTCTACTTGTCCCCAGTGTATAAAACTATGTTAATAATCGAAAATTTCACCAAAACAAATATGCATATATAATATGGTTTGGTTCTGTGTCCCCACCCAAATCTCATGTTGAATTATAATTCCCAATGTTGGAGGTGGGGCCCGGTGGGAGGTGATTGGCTCATGGGGGCAGTTTCTAATGGTTTAGCACATCCTCCTAGTGTTGTCCTGCCATAAGAGTTCTCAAGGGATCTGGTTGTTTGAAAGTATGTATTACCTCCTGCTTCATTCATTCTCTCTCTCCTGCCAGCCACGTGAATATGTACCTGCACCCCCTTCACCTTCCACCATGATTGTAAGTTTCCTGATGTCTCCCTAGCCATGTTTCCTGCGTGACCTGTGGAATGTGAGTCAATTAAACTTTTTTTTTTTTTGAGCTGGAGTCTTGGCTCTGTCACCCAGGCTGGAGTGCAGTGGCATGATATCGGCTCACTGCAAGCTCTGCCTCCCGGGTTCACGCCATTTTTCCTGCCTCAGCTGAGGCAGCTGGGACTATAGATGCCCACCACCACGCCTGGCTAATATTTTCTGTATTTTTTAATAGAGATGGGGTTTCACCATGTTAATCAGGATGATCTCGATCTCCTGACCTCGTGATCTGCCCGCCTCAGCCTCCCAAAGTGCTGGGATTACAGGTGTGAGCCACCGTGCCTGGCAATACCCAGTCTCAGGTAGTTCAATCTTTTTTTTTTTTTTTTTTTTGACTAAGTCTTGCTCTGTCTCCCAGGCTGGAGTGCAGTGGGGCAATCTCAGCTCACTGCAACCTCCACCTCCCAGGTTCCAGCGATTCTCCTGCCTCAGCTTCCCAAGTAGCTGGGGTTACAGGTGCGCACCACCACGCCTGACTAATTTTTGTATGTTTAGTAGAGACGTGGTTTTGTCATATTGGCCAGACTGGTCTTGAATTCCTGACATCAAGTGACACTCCTGCCTTGACCTCCCAAAGTGCTGGGATTATAGGCATGAACCACTGTGCCCTGCCTCAAAGTAGTTATTTATAGCAAAGTGAGAACACACTAATATAAGTCCACTGTGTATGACAGGCATAGTACCATGTGTCTTAAAAGTGTTATCTACTTTAATTTTCCATAAAATTTTCACATATTGTCCCCCTTATTTTAGAGGAAAATTTGATGACAGTCCCATGGTTCACGAATGGTGAATCCGGGATGCAAATCCAGCTCTAGCCATGCCTTTCTCAAATTTTCTGTTGTGCACAAGTGTTCTGCGAGAGGTACACAAGGTTCTAAAAATAATGCTGTTGGTATTTCTTAAAACATAAGAATATTTAATAAAAAATATCCCCAATATTGCTTTCAACAGTCCTATTTTTGTACAATAATCTTGTCTTACAAGGCGGCAACCCATACCTACGAATAACAGTTGGAGGCCAGACTTTCTGATGGTGTGTCACACACAGCAGGTGACATGCACATACCCTATAAGCAGGCAGCCTCCCCACAGAGCACAGCAAGGCGCATGGCCCTCCTCACTGAATGGTGGTCTGCCTTCTACATCTTACCTTGTCATTTAAGACCATATATATATATATATGTCTATAATTGTTTCCTTTTAAAACTCTTATTTAACCTTTCTAATTTGTTGCTTTCCTTGTTATGTTAGAGAACAGAGTCTTCAAACACCTGTGATTGTCTAAAGCTTTTACTTCCTCAAGACACCACTTTACGTTGTTTATTCTGATCCAGGCACAGGTGAGCTCCTGTACATGATTTTTATTTATTTATTTATTTTTTAATGTTTAGTAGAAACAGGGTTTTGCCATGTTGGCCAGGCTGGTCTTGAACTCATCACATTAAGTGATTCATCCACCTTGGCCTCCCAAAATGCTGGGATTACAGGCGTGAGCCACTATGCCTGGCCCATGATGATTTTTTAAAGTATTCAAAGGTAACTCCGTTTGGGAAGCATTGCATGGCACCACTGCTACTTTCACAACAATATTTGTGAAGAGGGCGGGTTGTGCCAACCACATGCTCATGCCTGCTGGGATCTTTCCTCAACACCTGGATGACGCCCAGCCCCAGTCCTTTCAATTGATCTCCCATGAGTCCCCTCTACCCACCTAGTTTTTGGACTATACACCCAGC